TGCACCTGGAGTTCCAGCTACTTGAAAGGATGAGGCAGAAGAATGGCCTGAGCCCAACAGGTCAAGGCTATGCTGGCCCTGAGTATACCACTACACTATAGCCTAGGCGACAAAGTGAGACTCCTACTCAAAAAGAAAAAAATAGAGATCATAAGACTGAAAAATAGGTATAGTATCATATGACAGATAGCAAGCCTAAAGGAAACAAAAATATCTTACCCCAAATATGTTTCTTTTGTGGCAAGACAGCTAGCATAGCTTAGATATAGATGAGTTTCTTACAAGCAGGCTTAGATAATTAGGAAGTCAAATGGTCTGGCATCTCTGGACACTGTCTTACTGGGACATAACTCTTTAAAATCATACACTGACTGAAACCCAGACCTGACCTTAGAATGTGGAGTGGCTGGCTACTGACCACAAACAGGACAATAGGTAGTTACTGGAGACACTGAGGCACGGTGCTCCAAGAGAAAACTTAAACCACAACTTTTCCTATTCTCTCAAAATTTCTCTGTGACACAAGTAAAACAATAGGAACAGAAACTTGTGATCAAAGCTTAGATTTTAAATAAGTTGCTTAATCATAATTTTGGACAATATATAAAGCTGTCTGCTAACAACAAGGGCATGCCTTTTCCCTTAAAACCACCTGCATTCTCTCTTGAATATGTCATTTTCTTTTCATCTCTCTAATAAACTGTAATTTAAAACTCTCTCTCTGCAACTTGCTCTGAAGTTCTTTTCTATGGTGGAGTCAAAGAACCAATGAAATGGCACATAGCACCCCAGCCGGCATCACTTTGCCATATTTTGAAATGACCCTGCAAAGCTAACTCTTGGGGACATTTGCATCTGTAGATAATCTCTTCCCCAGGAAGAGTCTAACACCTTTTAAGATATTTGCCAGCCAGGCTCAGTGGCTCAGCCTGTAATCCCAGAATTTTGGGAGGCTGAAGCGAATGAATTGACTGAGCCCATGAGTTCAAGACCAGCCCAGGCAACTTGGTGAGACCCTGTCTCTACAATAAATAAAAAAACTTAGCCAGGCGTGCACTAGCACACCTGTAGTTCCAGCTACTTGGAAGACTGAGATGGAAGGATCACTGGAGCCCAGCAGGTTGACACTGGGGTAGTCATGATTGTGCCACTGCACTGCAGTCTGGGTGATGAAGTGAGAGTCCCACTAAAAAA